TCAGAATCTAATCAATCCGTCTCTCTTTTCACTTCTGAGCCTCCTTGTTGAAATTCTCACATTTCCTCTACATCTTTTTCCCCCCACCCAACACAGACATCGCTCTCATCTGTTATTTCCTCTCCCACCCAGCCTCCAGTTGTGTCATTTAGAAGTTTTATGTGATTTACATAGTATCATTTCCTGCAGTCAAGATTTTATTTGGCTTTAAACTCGAAGTGAGACGAGAGAGGGAGAGAAGGAGATCAGGTGGAGTGAGGACTCATCTGTATACTACAGCGTTGGCATAGCAACTGCCATCCCACTTTATTATTCCTCTTTGTATTCTATTATTCACTTTCTCGTTCACATATTTCTCACACCATACATCTGACGTATGCTGCAGGGCAGAGCTGTGGACTAACCTTTTCATTGAATGGGCCCATCATTACTCCTCTCTGTCACTCCCCTTTGCTTTCATCGCTCCAAAATCTCCATCTTTCTCTGCTGCCCCCTAACCTCTGTCGACAATATTAAGACTTTGAAAGATATATACAGTGTGGCCTGCCACCATTCCTACATTCTGTCAGCCCTAATGTCCCCCTGGGCCTTTGGCAGCCCCCTTTTTCCATTTACCGTGCTTTGTTGTATTGTGTTTGTTAAATCTCCTTCTCTCTCTTTTGCTCTCTCTCCTGTGTTTTATTGGCAGAACAGCTGTGAAGAAACGGCTGCCAGAACATAAAAGTTCAGCCCAGATGATTATTCTTTTACATAATTCAGTTGAGTCTTCTTTTTTTTTGAGCAGATAAAAAGAAAAAAACACAAATGGGAGGAATATACCAACTGTGCAGGTGTGATAAAAACCACATAGGGTACCCCTCTGCAACCACACACACACACACACACACACACACACACATTTGTGTTTTTAAATTCATCCACTGCGTTCCTTGAAAGGTGCAACTAATAATTATTTCATAACTTATTCTCCTGAGTATTTTCTTATTTCATACATTTATTGTTTGATCTGTAAAATCACAGAAAATTGTGGGCTTCTAAAGCCCTAAACGACATCTTTAAATGCAGGGCTGTGGAGTCAACATTTGCTCCACCCACCCAGACGAAACTTCAGAATTTGAGCTAATTTCCTACTATTTTCTATTATTTATCATTAGCAAGTACAGCTATACAGTATACTATATGCATATGCAATATGTGAAAACTACTGTTGTCTACATAAATTACACATGGCAATGTTTGACATGTAACTCAGTTTGCTTCCACACCTGCCCTGTTTGGTTCGGTTCAATCGAACTCAAGTTCATTTGCCCCCAGTGTGGTTTGTTTGAGCAGGTGTGAACACAGCAACCACACTTGGGTGTGCTGAATGGGCACCTTTTTGAAGAGGTGGTCTTGGTCCGGTTACAAACGGACTCTGGTGCAGTTCGTTTTTGCGGTGAGAACATGTTCCGACCTCGATCTGAACCAACTGCAGTCACATGATACATTGTTTGGGTTAAACACGAGCATGTTACAGTCTTGGAGGATTATTAATGTGCACCTCCTCCTGTACTGCCTTAATATGCACATTCAGCACACCCAATGCATCAAAACATTGTTTTCTAGTTGGAGCCGCACCTCGTTTTCAAACGGTATGGTTTGACTAAAATGAACAATGACAGCAATATAGTCCACGATGAGCAGTGCTAAAATCAACCTGCGTAGTTGTCCCTCCATTGTGACATTAGAAAGTGTCACATTTATCTTGCAAGTGTACTCTTCTTCAACGTTTGGTTTACTTCCTGGATTTTTCCTGCATGGAAATTCTGACCAATCAAGAGCAGCTTTCTCACACAAGGCATTTGATCTAGTCCGCTTGTGATAATGATATCAAACAGAGAAAAGCAGCACATACTTTCAATTTGTCCCTAAGATTAAAATCAGGTCCAACAAATACAGAAGTACAGATATGTATATACATGCATATCTTTCTTACTATTTCTGTCCCATTGTCCCCAGTACATAATAAATAAATGGCTTTGATCTGTGTTGGGACAGACCTGACCTTTGACCTTTCCCCAGGCCTGTCTATAAAGAATTTACCGCTTGTTGAACCAGTCACTCTCCATCACTGACCCATCACGAATCAGCCCAGGGCGGAAACAACACATTACCGTGTTTATTTCCCCCTCATGAGGAAGAAGCGGATGAAACAATCCACAGTCAAATTCAAAGGGAACATATGTAGAGCATTTAGGGAATAAATATAAGACAAAAACAAACCAACAAAAACAAATAATTATGATATTGACAGCAGATTAAAACATATGGAAGGAGGACATTTTTTCTCCCTCATGTATGGACCACTGTCTGTCTTCCTTCCACATTCGCTGCCTGAGTGAGGCATTGGCATATGGCTGGTGCTGGATAAACACTTGGAATTATCCTGCACACGATATGATTTGCTTTATTGATGTCTGTCGGGTTGCATAATCTCAGGATAGGCTGACCTGTTATAAGGAAACAGTCTAATCCGCTCCCACACAATTCTGCGTTAGCACTCATCCGATTAAGGGTGCACATAACGCACACAGAGAAGCACAATGTTAAACCGATTACACCAGGTAGAATAGTCTAATTATGCAGGATTATTCCATATAGACTCAGTAGAAATAGAATTAAAAATCTAAAAGTCTTCTGGGAATTAAATAATAAATTCCCTATGAAAAACTGTGGTTACATCCATCTCCTGTTAATTATGTATGAGTTTTTAAATTTAATTTTAGGGCATTAAACCTAATATTCAATTCAAGCCAACTTTATTTATCCCCGCGAGGGTAATTGTGAGCCAGCTCCAGATCAACAGATAGAAAAAGAAAGAGAAATGTATCATAGTTAGGGCTTACATTATCCTATAACATCTTATCATAGTCTAAACCATCAATTCTCCAAGGGGGTTTCTGTATTACTCAGTTTAATCACAAAACAGAGAAGTGTGCAGGTTTCCAGCTGAAAGTGCACAGAGAAGCACTGCACCGCTCCTGCTTCTCCTGGTTCCACATCCTCCTCCACGCCATGTGTTGCAGGTTTTTATGGTACATAATAGTTTTGCAATAGCGAGAGACATTTTTGTCACATAAATGTATTTACATTTGCTCTATAAATGTGAAAATTATTCTCTGAATGCCTGTTTTTGACATGACGCACAAACCGACCAGAAAAATGACAGAAACACAAAATGATGCACCAAAGAGGTGCAAAACAACCACGAGAAGATAGTAAAAGACACAAAAGAGGGAAGGAGGACACAAGATAATTTAGAACAAAATTACCTCAGAGACAAACACATCTACAAAGAGCCAAAAATGACCAAAAAAGACTCACAATTACCCCAAAGAGACAAAAAACAACCACAAAGGGACACTAAATGACCGGAAACACACAAAATGACCTCAACAAGACACATAATGACTACAAAGAGACAAATAACAACCACAAAGAGACACAAGATGACCAGAAACACAAACATTTATGTCAAAGAGACACAAAACAACCACAAAGAGATGCAAAATGACCAAAAAAAGACACAAGATTACCCCAAAGAAACACAAAATTACCTCAGACACAAAACAACTACAAAGAGACACACAACAACCACAAGAAGTCTTGAAATGACCAAAAAAGACACAAAATTGCTTCAAAGAGACCCAAAACAACCACAACAAGCCACATATCAACCAATAATGAAACAATATTACCCCAAAGACAAAGAAACAACCTCAAAGAGACACTAGATGACTAGAAACACACAAATGACCTCAAAGAGACAAGACAACCACAAAAAGATGCAAAATAATGTACAAAAGACACAAAATTATTAAACAAAAGCATCCACAGAGAGACACAAAATGACCAAAAACAGACACAAATTTACCACAGAGAGACAAAAACAACCTCAAAAACACACGAATTAACTAGAAGCACACAAATTTACCTCAAAGAGACACAAAACAACTACAAAGAGATGCCCAACAACCACAAGAAGTCACAAAATGACCAAAAAAGACACAAAATGACCCCAAAGAGACACAAAACAACCACAAAGAGATGCTAAATAAGTTAGAAAAGACAAAATTATTTAAGATTCATCCACAGAGAGACACAAAATGAACAAAAAAGGTACAAAATGAACAAAAGAGACACAAACAACTTAAAAAGACAGATTACCTCAAAAAGATCAACCACAAGGAGACACAAAATGACCAGACAGACACAAAATGACCTCAAAGATACCCCAAAGGACCACAAAGAGATACAAAACAACCACAAAGAGACACAAAATGACCTCAAAGATACCCCTAATGACCACAAAAAGACACAAAATTACCCCAAAGATACCAATAAAACAACCTTAAAGAGACACTGGATGATTGGAAACACACGATTTGACTTCAAAGAGACACAAAGTGACCAAAGAGACACAAAACAATGACGAAGAGATACGCAACAACCACAAGAAGTCAGAAAATGACCAAAAAAGACATGTTAAGACACAAAAGACACACCACAGCTACAAAGAGATGCAAGACAACAACAACAAAAGGGGCAAAAACATCACAAAGTCTGTGTGTCTCGCTCGTCTATAGGAGAGGTGGTGGGGCCCTCTGCATGCCTGTGCATGGAGCCCCATTTTATTATAATCCGCCCCTGTAGGGTGCCAGCTCCAGCAGTCTTTTAAGAGTAACAGGTGCCATAGGCAACCAGAAATAGCCTTTAATATAGAAGCAGCGGCTACAAATACCAAATAGATTACATATTTTTTGGCGCTACAGTAAAAAAAACTCAACAACCCCCAAATAGCCCGGGTATAATAAATTAGACATTTGTTTGGCGCCTACATCTTACAAACCCTGCCACCTGTTTTCAGCGCTTATTTCGCTCCTCTGATTCCGTCCAATGGGAATGAACGGCAGGTCTGGAGGCGGAGAAAGAGGCAGAGAAGTTGGAGGAGAGAGTGAGAGACAGATCCGGGGAGACAGTGAGCTGGAGATTGAGTGCAAGTCGGTGGAGTCACATATTAAATCACAGACTTCACTGCTCATCTGAGGACTGTGACTTGACGTCCAGCTTCTTCTTCTTTTTTTTTTTTTTTATTTTTGTAATTTTTTTCTGTTCGGGCGGTTAATGTCGCTGCACATTTTTGACGTGCAGTCACAACAGGTTGACCGATTAAATCCAGCCACTATGGATTATTCCTCTTCATCTCCAGTCGATTGCCACTGACGGGATCGTAATGGGCACCGTCGAGAGATCAGTGTTGATTGAGGAAGAAACGAACTGATCATAATCAAGTGGAGCGGAGACGGAGGCAACATCTGTGGGGGGAGCGACGCACAATTTCGAGAGACAAGCGAGGGGACCTGTGGAGGGACCTGTATGCAAGGAGGCGAAGCGAAGAGATGATGGGATGGCCGTGGCAACATGAAAAAGAAAAAGTGCGGTGGTCTATTTTCATCCAGCCAGTGATTCAACACAACTAACCTGGGGGACAGGGACTGAGAGAGAAGAGGTAGGAGGTAGGTAGAGAAACAGACAGGGAGGAGGGGGCCGTGAAGGTGTCTGGTTATGTCACACTGAAAGTAGGTTATTGTTTTGGATCAGTCAAATGCAGCCAACTTATGGTTAACTGAGGCATGCACACAGTCACAGCACTTCTCTGATGTGGAATTATTATCCTCCAGTCTCTGAGCCTGATCTCATTTCCATGGTGTAAAGCCAGATCTGCACCATCCTTCTGGCTAACATCAGTGTAACACACAGATGACATTTTATGGCATAGCTTGCTGGAAGCATTGTGGGATGTGAGAGATGGAGAGGACACTGGGAAACAGAGGGAAAGAGGGCGCTGCGAGAGGCTGACTGGCCAGCTGACTCAAATGTGACTCAAGGAATAACATATTCCCCAATTACGGCCACTTTTCGTCACTCTTTGTCACACGTCTTCAGCTTTTAGAGTTCAGTCTGTACCCTCATTTGTTTTACCTAAGCGTTATCCATCACAGTGTTCCCTCACTCCTCTCCCCAGCTCTCTGTCTGTCCTGTCTGCAAAGCAACCGTCATGATGAATATGTCTCTCCTGTGTCTTTCTTCACAGTTCTTCTTCTCTGTTTGTCTGTAGACAGGTGTGTGGCCACAGCCGTGACCATGGAGCCTCCCCCCTCTCTGAGCTTGGCTCTGCTAGGAGGGAGCGAGGATGAGGACCAGCGCTTCCTCCTTCCCCTGGGCAGCATATCCCATCCCTCCACCACTGGCAACCAGCCAGGATCAAACCACTCCAATCACATGGGAGGATCAAGCCTCGACCGCCTAAATGGCAGCACCCCGTCCCCATCCACTGCCACGCCCAACTTGCCTCCAGCATCACTCCCCAAGTTGCCCCTGTCATCCTCTGGAGCTCAGCCTTTGCCCCCGCCCATCCCCAACGCCCTGCATCCCACCAGCACTCCGCTCTCCTCATGCTTGGGCTCGCAGCACAGCCTGAGCGGGGACAACTCTCCGGTCTACAACGCCCTCTTTTACTCCTCCCACTCGCCCTCCATGGAGCGGGAGAGGGACAGAGAGCGTGAGAGGGACAGGGAGCGAGAGCGAGAGCGAGATCGAGATAGAGGCTGTAAACACAGACAAGCCAGCCCTCTGGTTCACCGTAGGGACAGTAACCCCTTCACGGAGATCGCCATGAGCTCCTGTAAGTACACAGGCGGGGTCATGAAGCCCCTGAGCCGCCTCAGCGCCTCCCGCAGAAACCTCATCGAATCAGACAGCAGCAGCGAAACCAAAGAGGTTGGCGTTTCAGCTGTTGCCGGGGCAACGGCAACAGGGGGGCATGACCGACAACGAGAAGCCCCTCCCACCTCCTCGTTGTCCCAGTCCTCTACCAATCAACCCCCAATACAGAGCCCGCCAGAGATTGTGATTTCATCCAAAGAAGACTCGCCGTACCCCCGAGCGGGGTATGACATCACAGACTCCACATCCAACCAGATGTCCATCTACCACCAGAACCACGCGCTGGTGGAGAGCAGGCGGGCGCAGCCGGGGCGGGGGAGCAGGCAGGGAGGGGTCGGGGCGGTGGGCACCGGGCCAAGGGGCAGCACCTCCAAGGCCCCCAAACGGAAGAACCAAAACATTGGCTATAAACTGGGGCATCGACGGGCGCTGTTCGAGAAGAGGAAGAGGCTGAGTGACTATGCGCTCATCTTCGGGATGTTTGGCATTGTCGTCATGGTGATTGAGACGGAGCTATCGTGGGGCGTTTACACCAAGGTGAGGGGACAGACCAGTGATACTTCAAGGGGGCACACCACTGATTTTACACATAAAGGTCACTTTTCTAGTCATAGTTAGGATGAGCACCGTTGTATATTGTGTGGCTCAAGGCAAGCAAAAAACCCTGATGATGTCATAGTGATGTCATTGGGGTTATCACAGCTTGGGCTTGGAGGCTACAAATTTGTAGAGGAAAGCCTGCCTTATGAACAGAGGGCATGGAGTTTGAAAGACATAGTCACCAGGCAGGGAGGGTGTAATGAAAGACGAGCTGCATTATGGGAAGTGTAGGATCCAGTGTTGCTGGAGTTTGACTCTTACTAGGGACTTAAAGTTGGGATATCTCGGCCTCTGCTGCTGCGATGTTGACCATTCTGTTTTTAATCCATCTCTCACAAGTCCTCCAACTTTATGGAAGTGCAATAACAAATTGGTAGATTGCTCCTTTAATGTAGCGTAAGTACATAAACAAAGGTCACAGATCTCACACCACGCTGACTTCATGGTTGTAGTCTTCAGCACAGGAGTTCCCTTAGCTAACTTTGGCTCTTTTAAGGCATTTTTGGGCAGTTGTACTATTAGGTAGATAGGTATGTTACCAAGGATGAAGTGGGTATACTCTCATACATATTCCAACGGTGGGAATACTGTAAACTGGCAGACAAAGAGGTGGTTATATCTTCATATATCCTCCACCACACCACTGTTCTGGGGCATTATTGGGTCTTGTTTGCCAGACTCAAACCGGGGGTGTTAACTTCAACCCAGGAGGTCCAAACTTAGGCTGTTTCGAACGGGTCATTGACCAGATAATTTGAGTCATCTTTCACCAGTTAATCACCTCATTCACGATCGGTACACCCCACTCAGTCTGACCATGTTGTCGGAGGCTGTACTGTAATGACCAGGCATGCCCGTTGCTGCTTCTGGATGATGTAATACAACAATGCAGAGGACATGGGGGGCAGATTATCAGTAGGAGGCCAGGATCTCATTTGTCTGTGTAATGGGGAGTATAATAAGCTGAATTGGCCCCTGGCTGCTATTGTCTGTTTATTTTGGTTGTGTGTGTGCATGTGTGTGTGTGCCACAGGGTCCCAGTGAGCCTTGGCGCATGTTGAGCTCACCTTCCTGATGCAGAGATACTTGTGCCCTGGCTCCATCCCGTCTTTCAGTTTGACATGTCACAGAGGCTTGGGTTTCTTTAGCTAATAAGGTGGAAACATCACTTCCACTTATGCAGTTTGTCATACATGGATCACTGGTCATGTGAAGGAGGGTACGGGATCATGTGAGCGCACAGATGTACAGGTACCCTATTAGAGTAGGCCAGCTAGGTGTGTCTCTCATCCCTCCCTCCGTCTCTGTTTCTGTTTGTAGTCTCCAGTTGATACTTGGTTTCTATCTGATATTGTCATTGCTAGAAAAATCTGCCTCTTGCTGGTTGTCTTTGCTTCTTTTTCTCTTCATGGTCTCCCCTCTCATTACTCTATGAAAGCCACAGTTTTAGAGTCTATGTCTTTTTTATTAATGAAAATTCATGGTCGGGATTTCTCTCTCTCAAGCCCTCCTTGTCTCTTTTCTTCCTTTCTGTCGACCTATTCTCCTCCCTGAAGGAGACGGCGGACACTTTTTATGCTCTCTTTCTCCGGCTGTCTCCTTTCTATTTCAGCTCCACGCCTGTCTCTTTATCCTGTCTTCCTTTTTTCTTTCTTTCGTTCATTTTTCTTCCCCTCACTTTCTCGCTCCCTCTGCTCCACTGCTCTTCCAGTGGGCGTCAAACTGGGGGAGTGTGATCGGAAGAGAGAAGCGGCTGGGCGAGAAATGAAAGGCTGTGGAAGGAGAGAAAAAAGGGAAGGCGATAATGAAAAGCCTGATTTAGGTTCTTAAGCTACAACCAATACAGTTCTCATCTGAACCAGGCAGCGCTGTCTGTCAGTAAGAATTGATGGACAGCTGTGAGTCTGAGCAGGGCGGCCACTGTGTGTGCCAGTGGTCTTACTTTATTGGCTCATCTGTGTTCATTAAGGTATGCCGCTCAGAGCAGGGAGTTGGAGTTGAGGGAAAATAGTATGTAAATAGCTTCACGCCTCATTGTCTCATTTCAGGGTTAAGAGTTAAGCATGCTTCAGCAAAACCTGATCAAAATTCATTTCTAAATGCAGAGTGCCAAGTTATATATTTCCTTCCTTTTTTATGGTTTGCACATTTGGTTTTACTCCAACAGATACTGGAGTTCCATCAGACAGTTCAAGCCCTCACTTAGATAATTGAGGTGGAAAGAAGCCCGCTGGTTGTTGTGAAAAATGGATATCGAGATCGTGAGGATGAAAGAGGGAACGGTAAAGGGAGATGGAGATGGATGCGAGAACGTTGTAGAGAGAAGTGGAGAGGTTCATGCAGTGCTTTAAACCAGTCTAGGGGGAAAGCTATGAATGATTTCTCGTATTGATTATTGATAATCACTCACCCACACATGCACTGTCCAACCCGGCGCGCACATGCTGTACAAACTCGCACATTGAAAATGGATGCTGCCTTTCAGAGGTGCTATATTGTGCATCCTTGAGAGCTTATGGGGAAATATGATATGGCACAGATCGTTTTTTGTGTATATTTGTGTGTGTGTGTGTGTGTGTGTGTGTGTGTGTGTGTCCTATTAACAGCACCGTAAGACTTTCTGTCTTGGACAATAGCTGTAAACTAAATGTCACTGTATGTGTGTGTGTGTGTGTTTCTGCCAAACCAGCTGCTCTATCTTGCTCCCAAAAATAGAGATGAAGAATAAGAATGGAACTAAACAGGGTGGGTTGGATGGTGTGCGCGTTTGCGTGTGTGTATGAGTGTGTGTGTGTGTTAGAAAGGATAAAGGGAGAGAGGTTAACAGAGGAGGACATGCTGTTCAAGACTGTGGGTATAGTGAGTAAGCATTTTGTAGATTCATTTTGTGCAGAAACAGGTTTTTAAACCCCGTCACCACACACTGTAACTACAGCTGAGAATGTTCCATTCATTGTATTACAGCCATTATCATCAGTTATTATCCTGTCTATTCAGAGCTGATGATCAAGGCCACATTTGACATCAGTAAGACAAGTCTGATTGCAGATAAAAACTGTTCTTATGTCTGTATATTTAGAAAAGCAACCAAGTACATGTACTTCAGTACAGTTTTAAGATTCATGCTACTTTAGACTTCTACTGTACTACATTTCACTTCTTTTTTTGTGGCTGCTATAGTTTCAAGTTACTTTCTAGATTTTACATAAAACACATGATGAGCTTGTAAAATACATGAGAGTGATGTAGATTTTTCACCAGCTTTGTTCCGTAGCATTATGGGTAGAACGTGTAAATGAACTGTGGTAAACTTGCCTCCATCTTACCAGCGCCCAGATGTCTCTGCTCGTCTCTCAGCTCAGATTCACAAGATGACGTGCTTCATGTCATCCGACAGATTTTTCGCTGGCTCTAGGCCTGCTGCTCGAACTATAGATTGTACCTCTGCATTTTCATCAAGGATATTCAGTGAAGCCTGGGATGTGCTCTCTGACCTGATGGGAGCTATGTGGTGTGACACGTGCGCAGTACAACTGTGGTGTTGGAGGGTGACAGCAGAAGGGGCTAGAAATGAAGGGATGGTGTCCGCTCAGGTTCTTTCTGGGTGTGCTCTTTTTAGCCTATTTGGCCTGACAGAACTTTTTGGGTACGCTTGAATGGACGGCAGCTGATATACAACATTTGTTTATGGTCGTAAGGACATTCTCAGTAATCGCAGAATTGCAATTCTCTCACATATCTTAATTTTTCATATAAAAATATTCCGACCCAAGGCTAACTGGACGCTTCAGTGAAAGGAATCAATCATACCTATGTTCTATGATAGTGCACCAGCTATTGAGTCTTTCTGCAGGCCAGATTTTACCTCTCATGTGTTGTACCCCAATGATATGATGCAATATGACACCGTGACTTCTTCTCTTTTTAACCTCCTTGATATTCGTATTCCCGCCACCATGGACACAAAGAGTATAGAAGCAGATTGAGAGAGGCCCACCCCTCTTTTTGTCTCAAACTCGGACCGAACTTAGATCAAACAGTAAAACTAGGCAGTGCTGATCAAATATAAACCAAGATTCTGTTACTGCATGGCTTATTTATGGCCTGAAATATCTTCAGACACATATTTTAGTGCACTGTTTGGATGTAATACGAGATTGTTTCCTACCAACCAGCTACCATATTGTCTCCCATGCATGTCAAAACAGCCATTATGTCACCCACTAGCAGGAGTGTTTATTGGTTGGTGTGACGCAGTGCATTCTGGTAGTTGTAGGTTTTCTACCTCTTTAGCAAAAGGGAATGTCACAGCCCTTTTTCTTTGTTGTCTCAGTCATGTAGAACGAATTTCAGAAGTATTTTCATCTTTTACTGCATTAACAGCCCAGTTTTATGAAAAGCGGTGAAACATTTCTTTAGTAGTTTACTTAAGGAGTTTAAATTTGCTCCACCTCAACTAGTCACAGCTAAACTTCTGCACTTATGCAATCAGTATTAACAGTCTAATGATATGATATATCAGAATGCATCACTCACAGTGGCCATTTTACTTTAAGCACATGTAGTTGATGGTACTTCTGTACTTTTTTCACTCAAGTAATGTTCTGAATGAAGGACTTTTACTTGTAAAGCAGTATTTTTGTGGTATTGGTAGTTGTGACTCTAGTAAAAGATAAGAATACGTCTTTCAACAGTAATATTTATCACTCCAGGCAGTGGCACTAAATTCCCATACTGTAAAATGTCCAATCACAGTTGTTGAGCCACGATAGATTATGCACAGAGAATATTGGATGAGGAAATAATTCATGAATGTGAAATAATTACATTTTCTCCGCAGGCTGAAATGTGCGTTTTCCCACAAGAAACATCCAAGACAATAATTTTATCTAGAGATATGTTTTGAGATTTTTTATACTGTACATCTACAGTGTCAA